GCAACTTACTGCGTCTCATTCACCTTCAAGTTAGCTAGCCTATCTATTTTCGGTCTGGTCATTAATATTTATTGTTGCAGCTCTCTGAACTCACTGTTGGCGACTTCTTCTCGCTGTCTCGTTTGCAATCCAAGTCTCTGAGGACAGTCACTGTCTTGTTGGTTGAGATGTTCGAACCTGCGACCCTCACAAGGGCCCCGTGGACTTGGTAGCGTATACTGGCGTCGGGACCTTCGAATGAACACGGAATGCCTGAAAACAGGAAGAGTTATTTATTGCTTTATATTTTTAAAATTTTAAAATATCTTTTTTAAATATTGAAAACAGGGTCAAGCCTTGTATACCCCCCCCCCCCCGTTCTACCACCAGTCCTGCTTACCACCAGGTTTCGCCAAAGTACGAAAAGAAACGCCAGTGTAAACATAGTATTTGCGCCTTTACACCGCCATCTGCCGTCCGCCAACTGTCTGAGTTGTACAGTCCTTACAACGAGGTTCTAAGGTCATGAGTTTTTATAAACTAATGCACATTAAATTTGCTCCTGGGTACCGCCAGGGAATTGGACGCCAGAGGTACACACTGCACGCGGCGCACGGCACCCCTGCGGTGGCTCCTGGATAATCTCTTTCTCACACACGTCTCTGCGAATTTTACCTGTTTCTAGCGTTTGTCACCGATTTGCTCCTTATTTGCACTGGCTATGAAATAATGTACTCCTATTTTGAAGCTCTGGTTGCATTAAAAAAAACCCACAAAAAAAACTTGGAATGGAATTTTAAAGTGGTGTGAAGAAACTGCAAAGGAACTACATCATCTCGGATTGCCAGCAAAAAGAATTTTTAAAAATTGACGTCGCCACATCTCAGCTCGTTGTCCAAAAGGCTAGTGGCGTCTGCGAGGCTTTAAATACTGTGATATATTTTGGGAGGACTCACGCCCATGTCTACGTAAAAGGTCTGCGAGACAGCCCGAGGTCTGACGAGTATCGGGTAAAAAAAGTACGTGTACAGTGTCCTTGACACATTATAATATTGTCCAGCATCTGATTCGGCAGAAATTTTCCACTTGAATTTACATGAAGTTATGCTAGAGCTGTACATGATGTAACTGATTGCTACTTGTTTTTCCCCTGCTTAAGACAATCGCACGAAGACATATCTCGATGAGTTAAGACTGAGCCACCGTTTGATTGTCTCTAGTCCTGCCAATCTACCACTAGTCAAGAGATGGCAATCAGTGTTGTCCCGTTATACCGCCAGCCCTGTTGTACCGCCAACGTCGTGCTAGTCCCAAGATAGGAGCTTTATCGGGGTTTGACAGTACATTTAATACCACACTAGAAATGTGACAGGGCATTTCGAGGGTGTAGACCCTTTCAGAACATTGGATTTTTGTGTGTGAGTGTGTGTGAGTGTGTGTGTGTGTGGGGGGGGGGGGGGGGGAGGTTGTGAAATATAAATGATGTTTTTGTGGTGAAAACCCAAGGACAGTACATTACAAATAAATTATCAACATTTTGATATATTGTCTCTCTGTCTCTCTCTTTCTTTCTTTCTTTCTTTCTTTCTTTCTTTCTTTCTTTCTTTCTTTCTTTCTTTCTTTCTTTCTTTCTTTCTCTCTCTCTCCCTCTTTCTCTCTCTCTCCCTCCACCCCCCCCTCTCTCTCTCTCTGAATCCCAATCTCTCTTTCTCTTTCTCTCTCTCATAATCTCTTTTTCTTTCTTTTTATCTCCATCTCTTTCTGTCTCTATATACAAATTTCTGTCTGTCTGTCTCTTTCTTTCTCTCTGTCTGTCTGTCGCCCTCTCTCTCTCACTCTCTCTCTTTCTCTCTCTCTCCTTCTATCTCTCTTTCACACACACACACACACACACACACACACACACACACACACACACACACACACATACACACATATACTCACACACATACACACATACGCGCGCACACACACAAACACAAACACACTGGCACAACCACAGAATTCCATCTCAATCACAAATGCACTGGGCTTACCTTCCGGCAGTTTGTACTGGAAAGGGAACAAATGTCGGCCTCGATTCAGCACTTCCCGGCTCTCCCAGCGACCATCATCTGCAACTGCCAGCAACGACAGAACGCGTTCAGTGATTGGACTAAAGCAAACAAACATACGAACTAACAAAGAAACAAACAACCGTAAGCACCACCCCGTCCCCTTCCGGCACTTTATTCATCTCTTCTCCTCATCCATCCTACACAAACATACTTACATGCACACACATACAGACAGAAAAATTAGATGCATGAACTATATTATTATTAGAAGGCAATAAAACAGACAACAAAAAAGACGGGGTGATGAAGACAACGTGCAGAAGAAGAAAAATCTATATGGCTGACGTGAAGAGATTGATATCACTTTTCAGACTACGCCTACTATCGAAACAAAGCAGAGTTGAAATAACAGTAAGCTCCGCCCATCAAGACGAGATAGCAGACAAACAAAAGAAAGTAAAAAAGGTTGTTGGTAGCCTACAATGCGTCTATATAGACATCATAGACAGGCAGAAGAACAAGTCTAAATTATTGTCGATCGTTCCCAGCTGAGTGTTATTTCTCCTCCACATCGACAAATAAACAGTTTAGATTGGAAAAGTTAATTTGCAACATTTGCAAATAAACACAGCCCAAGAGTGCAAAGAAAAAAGGGGAAAGACCGGGGGTGGGGGAGTGGTGGGGAGAAAAGAAAAAAAAAACTCCCCTAAAAATCAATGAAGAGGATCTGAAGGAAAGAAGGAAGGCCAGTCCAGCTCGCCCGACAAGGCGCGACGACGCACTCACCCTTCCCCCAAAGGCAGAAGCGGTCGTCGAAATAGATCTCTTCTTTCTCGTGTTCCACTTCGGTTTTCCTAGTTCCTTCATTGCCGAGCTCACGCCAGCGCGCGCGCGCCGCGCCTCGAAATCGAAGCTCCACGCCTGGGGAGGGTAGAAAGAAATACATGTCGTTACACAGTTTAAGACTCATGAAGGGTACATTGCTATACGACTTTTTAAGATGTGTTAGACGTTGTCATTCAGGAACAATTGCGCGTTAGTTTTACGCTTTGTGTCTCTATTTGAAATCTGAAGTTCCTCCCAAGAGGGAAACTATTACTATTACTATTACTTGCTTGATTTAGATGTGAAAGTTCAAGTGGACAAATCTATTAACAACAAAGACTTAGTTGTTTACATGGAGTCTGCCACGTAGCCAAATGCCTCTCCCCCTTCAAAGGAGGTTAATTGCAAAGCAATTTTGTCATAATTTATTGATCATAGAAAGCACACGAGTAAAGGCTTTCACGTTCAGTATAGACCTTATTGTTGAAAGAGCCACTTTGTAAAAGGTAACGCACTTTTAAAAAAGTATCTTCGTACTGAAACCTGATCACAGGATAGCGGGCAGCCTATCTGTCACTATGATATTTTTTTTATATCAAACGCCACAACTCATTTGAGAATCGAAAACCCCTACATTTCCGTCTTCTCGCCCTACTGAAATCACTTTCACTTCATTGGACGGAGGCGTACACATAAAACAATTAAGGCACATTAGACAATCTTTGTACGCGCCAAACGCCCATGGCTTAAAATTCACAACGGCAAAAAAGAACAAAGTGTACAAAACTGTTCTCTACTTTTGCTGTAATACTGAATAAGAATCTCCTCGAAAATGAATATGTCTGGTTGTGACACCTTTAACTATAT